CAGTGCGCAGTGGTTTAGTCGCTGCCACGGGAGTGCGTTGGGCGCTATGGTCGGAGTCCAGCCACCGCCACCCGACTTTGGTGGTAAGCAGCTTTGCTGTCGTCCAGTTCAGTAACATGGCTAACATATCGGGGCCTTATGCGGTTAACCAATCCAAGTCCCGAGGCTAAGTTACAGGTTTCCATCCCTGAACAGCAGGTCCTCCTGACTATTGGGTTCACCCCGTCTGCCGTTCATCACACGAAAGTGTGTAATAAAAAATTGCGATCACATCAATTAATTGATACTTGTAGGAGTGATTTATAAGTGTTGTTAACATGATTTGCAAATCAGGCATCCATATGTGACAATGATGATTTACCAGCAAGCTGACAGATGGTCCGACATTGGAAATGCACGAACGCAACAGAAATCTCGTAATCTCTTGACAATGGCAGACAACAGAGAGGCACCGAAAAGTGGGTATAATCTAAATGAATAAGAGTTCACGGACGTGCAGCAGTAGTGTTTGAAGACGTGACGGATTTACATTGAGGAGTGGTCTCCCTACATTCACAAACAGAGTAAATCTGGCGATAGCACTGTTGTGTGGCCAATGTGACTCAATAACTATCCATTCGATAAGAATTCACAAATTAGGCGAATGAACCTAACTCTTGCGACCCGGTTAGTCTGGAAGATCCGCGCTAATGTGCAGATTGAGCTGACCTGGTCGACAGTGCGAAAACCAGCGAGATGGAATCTCCACTAATCACCGAGAAGGATGGCGGGGGGAACTGACTGTGATCCTATTCCCGAGAGCCTCAGTAAATCATTTTAGTATGATGTTTTGACTCGAGATAGTTGTGTAAAACATATTGGAACTCAAAAGAGAGGGTATCTCTAGTGACAAAGAAAGCTAAAGAGAGAATAAGAAATGAGCCCGCTCAATCATTATTACACAATTATCACACGTCACCAACTGTTTAATGACTGAAACACAATGAGAGGACAACTTCGGAACATTTCACTTCAAGCTCGAAAGAAACAGAAATAAAAAAACAAGTATACATGGAAACAAACCCACAGACGGGAGCACGAAGAACCAGTGGTTCCAACAGGGCGAAAACTAAACCAATAATCAAGACACCAACGGAATGAATGAAGCCTGGGGGCCGACAGAATTGTACGAAGGAAACCGACCTGCAACAGCAAGATGTCGCGAGTGTGTCGATCCACTTCCGCCTGTCGATCATCCAACATCGACTGGACCGTATTGTAATCCGCCTGTAACTCATTCTGGGAGGGGGTAATTGGAAACCAATGGACGTGGATAGTGGTGAGGGGAAGTGGGGGATACAAGATTACCGGACGGTATTTGGAGAGAAAATCAAAAGGCAAAAAGAACAGGAAAAGTGGGGGGTGGGGTGAGAAGCATATATAATAAACCCACCTGATATTTGACTAAGCTGTCAATCTCGGCACGCATTGTGGATATCACTACTTCCGAGGCTTCTTTTTGCCCGATTAGATCTTCCAACTCGGATGCGGAAATCTGTATGGTCAAGATTAAAAAAAAACGAAGACAGTTGCGTGTCAGTCATGTGCGCATCGTGTTCAACTTTAAAATGTACGATGGTTGCTTGCCCTTAATATTAGTATTCTAGGGTAGACATCGTGCTTTCCTTGTGCCAAACTTTATAATATTTCCGTTATATGAAATGTTCTACTGGATATTCATAACATCAATAGGTGCAACTGTGTACCCGAAGACTGGCAGGACGAAAATTTGCCGCGATTTAATGTAACGGCTCCTATGATTCTGCATCTAGCCTTGCACGACAATTATCGTCAGTTTAAGGATACTAAGTGTCTAAAAGATCAATGGATAATCTCACATTGTCAAACGACCGACAACAACCGGGTTTTTATTTAGGTAACTTGAAGAAAAGTGGTCAACCGATCAAAGCAAAGTTGCGAGCTAAACCGAAAGGTTCAGACAAAAAGCGATAAATTGGGGCAAAACTATTCTATTTTTTCAAGGGATTTGCATTACAGGAACTTCAGAAGGTTGCCTCTGTTCACCGCGTGGACTGAGATTAGAATCGTACTGCTCTGCGAAAGCATCAGTCAAGTCGAAGGTTTCGGTCAGTATTGCATTCAAGAAACATCTAACACTCCATAACCAGACACATATCAAAACCCAACACAGTACGTAGCGCCCAGGAAAATCAAATAGACTCGTCAAAACCTGAACTCCCAAATATGTGGGATCAGAGATTTTAAAATCGGACAATATCACGTACCAATTCAAGTCCTAAATCGGTCGTGTCACACTCGGCGTCCTGACGTTCGATTTGAGGAGTGGGTCCTAGATAAACTGTATCAACTACAGTGGGACGCACAGACATGTTGGTAAACCCGCATCGTGGTTCACACTCTTTGCCCGGAGTTTGATCTAACGAGGTTACAGCTGACCAAGTAGCCCCTTCCTCATTACTATCAGTTCCTGCAGCCGAAATCACGGTTGTCTCATGAGACCTGGTCTCGTCATTGCTCGATCCTTTCATCTCGATCCCGGTTTTAGTGGTACTTATCACGAGTGATTTCGGCTGCTCTCCGGACCGAGTTTCCGCAGAGATATCAGGGATGAGGACAGTGAGTTGTTCTGACCCGAAATTCGGTGGGGGAACTGACGTCTCCGAATCCAGTTCGTCCAACACTCCGGCAGATTCTATACTTTCAATCATGGTCATTCCACGGGACATTTCCACTCCAGTATCACCCGCAGTGGAACCAATCGATTGTGAGGTGATACTTGGTGTCGACCATGAACGCTGTAGATGATTAAAATGGAACACAATAAGCGCGGCCTCAGTTTTACCGGACAGAGATTAAATAATAAATCATTAAATGTAACGAAAATCAAGATGCCATAATGGGATAGAAAGTAGGCACCATCGGCTTTACTATGAAGCCGTTTGAGTGTGCTCCTGAATAGTGTACTACGTGTTTGTTCCTTTCCACACATCTGAAATATGACAGCTCTTATAGTGAAATCGGTATTTATAGCCTCCGATTACACTTCATTAGCTGAAAGACAGACATCCAGAAAGCCAGATTTCATTTAGCGTTCAAAATCACAATTCGATGCTTTTGTTTTCGGTTGTCGCTGGACATTTAACCAAAAATGACAAAACTGAGGAAGCTGCATTAGTATCTGCAGAAATTCATAACATTCTCTGATGTTCACATCTTATCCGATAAACAAGATTTTACTGTTTGTGCAGGCTGCATTGGGCGTGAGCAAGACAGTCAAAGCAAAATTAGAGAATGCAACCAATACTCAGAGACTCATGACAAGTGATCATATAGAATCTGACGGTGCAGACTAATTGAGAATCTTCCGGTTGTTTCCCACAGAGGACTCAGTCTAGCAAATTAAGTCTCCAAGAAAAACATTCTTTGATGCATTTAGGAAAAGAGATGAGATTGATTAGTACCTATACACCGATAACATTTTGCTAGTCAACTTACGGTGTACAAGTAGATGGCATTGGTCAACAGTGCAAAGTATTGATAAGAGCAGAGCGTTTTCTCAAGGAAGGGTATCACATCATCATGTGGTTATTGGTAGCTCACTCGGTTAGAGAACACAAAAACCGGTCTCGCTTCTTGATATAAATGATTGTAATTAGTCACATGACCATAATAACATCTAACTAGAGGTTAGAGCAAGGATGATTCATTCTAGGTTTTTACAAAACCTACCCGAAATTTGAGCGACTCAGAGTGTGCATCATCGGTTGCTTGTTGATCAGATGCCTTCATCTGGAAAGAACGAGCGATGAACTTTATGATAACATCCTGGAATCGAGCACACTGAAAACCGATAACACAGAGCATGCTAGTAAAAGCAAAACCAATGGCAAATTTTATACATATATATATCACAATGCTCTGTGACCCACGAGACTACATACACACAGTAAAGAAGTTCCATTCAGATATTTCCGTTTCGAACTACGATGAAAGGTTGGAATTGATTCATCGTGAAACAAACAGTTACAGGTCTCGATCAGTAGAAACAGAGTAACATATTAGTAGAAAGACTACTGCATAAACCCTTTCTCATCTCGTTTACGAAGGACAGGCAATAAGCAATTTAGGCGGAGAGGTCGAATGCGAATAATAGCATGAGAGATATCAAGATATGTGAATAAAAAATTTACACCGGTACGCACATTAGTTCTGAAAGCAGTTCCTTTCTTAGATAGCAACGGAGTTACAAATCTCGTCATAAAGAACGTTGGAGAGAAACGACTGAACAGAACCTTTTTATTACGCGCATTTGTTTGATGTACAGCGGTCAGATTGGACCCCAAAGTCGCGAAAACCTGCTGCTCAGTGATGGAAATCGGTGACCTAGGTCCTAGGACTTAGAGTAGAGAACTACATGAGGCCCCACTAGGTTAGGCGTGGTATCGAACAGAACAACAGCAAAGCTACGCACCACCAAAGTTGGGCATTGGGGTCCGAACCTCGAACCGAATAAATCGAGAATAAATCACTGCGCTCCCACCATAATACGGATGATTTGAAAGTGTACGAAAATTGCGGACGGAAAATAGCATAATAACCTTTACCAAAAAAGACCAAACTACGGTGACGCTCGAAGAAAAGGATGGACGATTTCGATAACACCAGGATCAGACCACTGATGAAGCAAATTTTCTATAGTCACTTCCTCTCGAATCCGATTTCGAATCGATAAGATGTGAGGACAAAACACAAAAACGGACGATTCGTGCCGACTCTATACCGTCCGAAGAGTAGGATCGAAAAAAACGATGCACACACGATTTCCTGAAACTGTTCTTGTTTAAGAACGAAGTCAATCTAAGGCGAACAATGAGAGCTAATCGGTTTTATTCTCCTATGGTACAATTTGCAAAACAAAGGCACCCTAACGTTTCGATGAGAATAAAACAAAAGATAATATTACGACACTGACGGCGGTGGCGTATTGGAATTAGGAGTGGTGGTCTGTACAGCGTGTGTGCAACATTGCACATTCTAAGTAGCATCCAAAATCAGGATTGACCTCGAAGCAGAGACAAATAATGGAATCTCTTCAATTTGTGAAAATCTTCCGGTAGATAGAGTTAGATAATTAAACCAGATATATCCAGAACAGGAGATTGGTACCATTTCAAAGATGTCGAAATTATCATTGGATTACAACTACCGAGACCTGGGTCGTTCTATCGATTAACTGAAAAATGCAGAAACAATACTCTGTCCGTTTATCAAAATGAGAACAAACTCGAATGAAAACACAAAAAGACTACAGGTAATCAGTGACATTCGAATAGTAAACGCATCGGGAGTCTTCACTTCAAAACTGGACACGCACCCGATGGATCATGGGCAGCACCTTCTTCCAAGCATCTGTTCCCATCGATTTGAGTTGTGCCAATTCCGTGCGTAGTGCAGTCATTTCAGCTTCCCTCTTCATAAGCAGACTGGACAGTTCCAATAACTCAGTGGATGGGCTGGCATTAGTTGTGCTAGATATCACAGTCTCTACCACAGTCATGGTTGGTTTAGAACTCTTCCCATTCGAGCTCTCAACAGTGGTAAATTCCTCGGTGGTACAGGCAACACGCTGAATCAAAGCCGCCGCGGCGAGACCGTTCAACGTTTGTGTAGTTGTACGTGTCGTTTTCTTGGTTACCGTGGTAGGCATATTGTCACTCACATCGTCAATCATTGTACTGTGTCCGGTTCCTGTTTGGATTCCAATCTCAAAAAACTGACGCGGTTCACTTTCAAGCTAAGACAGTTTTCGTTCAAACGGAGGATGGAGCAGGGGAAAAAAGACCCAACAACGAATGAGAGACAGAATCCGATATGAGTGAAACCATGAACAACGGCAATGAGATGCACATTCACCCAACCGATGGATTCAGACAAAACCAAGCACTCCACGGCACAGACGGTCGATAAGTGAGCACAGTTGTACCAATTGAATCCAACCGCACATCCGATACGGTGACTAGCGCCATGTGATTCGCTCACAGGTTGGCAGTGGTGCTCTCTCGGTGTGTCATTCTATCTACGTTGAGGGTCATTTGTCTTGGTTGCAGAGTTCCATCTGTCACACTGTGACTGTTAAGACCATTCGTCTAATCGACCGACCGGTACGCGATACGGGACGAGCTGAATATCACCAGAATCGCTCATGATGCTCATCGAATCAGGTTTTATGGACGACTATGTTATTCTGAATCCAGACAAGAAAGACTCGAATTTGATTGAAATTCATCCCGGAAGAAACTTCAAAGTTGTAGTGAACTAAACACACTGCACAGTGATCATACGGAAGAGAATGAATTCAATTTTACAAACATTGAAATCGATGAATAATGAGAGCTTGGCGGTAAAAAAAGCGGAGCATTGAGAATCAACCACAATGATGGTACTTTTAACACATGAACCCTAACACCAAATACAACACCAAGGTTGTTCCACCTGAATAGGTTCTAACACCACCCAAACACGTGATCAGCCCAACCGTCCATCAGAGAGAAACAAAAGAAGCGTGTACTCTCGAGCGAGCGTTTAATGGTTGATCAAAGCATAGATTGTAATCACACATGTGTTGTTTGATTGCTTGGGACTGCAAAAGCTCACCTTCGGTTCTTTAGCAACCAACTCCTCGGTTTGAGAATATGCATCCAGAAGAGTGATATAAGTCTGCACTTCTTTCTGGTCAGCCTAAATAAATGAGCAAAACATGGGACGATCAGAATAAGGAGACAGCATCGCTCACGTTAAGTTTGAAAAAGCGAACGAGTTTTTGATAACCTTTATGCAATCTTAGCATAAGACAAACATCCATGATGTTAGTCGATGGACCTTAAAA